TTTCTGAAACAATGGATCCAGATGGTTAGGGAATGGACCCCTCCTCCCCGACACTCCCCTCCCCCTCCTCACCCTCTCGTCACCCTTTGTGTGCCCCCCACCTCCCACTTTTTCCCCCTTTGTTCACGTGGGAGAGGGGATTCTTAGCAGATTAACCCGTTGCATTCCAGCTTCCTTTGTGTCACCTTTTCCTCCTTCTTGCCCCCCTCCTCCTGTCATTTCTGCCCCTGGCTAAGATTTGACCTTTAGGGTCAACTCCTTAAGCACTGAGCAGCAGATTCACTTGTTTTTAGACGCTGCTGTTGCCTGAGGTTTCACACTTTACTGCCATTAGGACATATGATTTCCTGTAAAAGCTCAAGTTTACAAGCACATGACCAGGAATCAGATTGTTTTTTTTCCCTCTACATACAACAATTTTACACTTGGGATTGACTGATATGGATTTTTCAGCTCCAATACCAATTCTAGTTATTGATGATCGAGGAAGAGCAATATACATTAAATGATATTTTTTCCCCGCATGTGATAGCATAACTATCATTATTCAGGAATTCTATGACTGAATATGTACACTAGCAATAAGACATCAGAGCATCACAGGATGTGAGCAGGTTCTCCTCTGTTGACGGTGGAATCAGCTGTTTGAAATCGATCAATTTGTCTTCAGTTTTCTTCATCTTCCCCTGCTCAACCACTTCTATTGCCCACTAAGTCCTCTGTCTTAAAGTGTTATTAGTTCTTGTTTTGTAGACACTGTTTTGAGGTAGTCTGAGGCTATGTCCTAGCTTAGCTGCTAGCCGTTAGCGTAGCCTTAGCAAATGTGAGAGTAGCTGATATCCTGATTTACTGTGATTTCGGTCCTTTTTGTTGTGTCTCTGCCACAAAGACATTGCCGACACCACAGAGCGACTACAGACAGAAAGGCATCAGACCCTAAATGCAATTCATTTATTGATAATCGACTAATAAAAACAACAATACAGACAACTGGAAAATGCAGAATATCGACCGTGATAGTCTGTCAATCCCTATTTTAATTTCAAGCTGAAGTGTTTTATGTATTTGTGCTTTCTGAGGACCCGGCCGATGCTAATGAGTGCAATATCAATATGATTCCAATCTAATAATACCAAAACGTTTAACTTAAGCAAATTGTTAAATCATAGAAATTAACCTGAGAAGGTTCCACTCCATGTCTGTGTCTGACTGAGACGTCAATCAATCCTTGCTGGACTTCCCCGAAACAATTCTTAAGCTTTGAGAACGAAAGACTTTGAGCCAGGTCAGAAGATAATCTAAGCCGAAAAGGAAGCTACTGAAATGTCTTACTCAATTATAGCAGTCATAGATTTAACCAGATTTAGTTAGCTTTGTCACAGCAGTTAAACACTTGCTTTGGTTGCCGATATCCTTTTTTTTTGTTTTTTTTGGCAAAACAACCTCATAATAAGAAACCAACAATCAATTTTTATGTCCCTCCATGTTTTTTTTTTTACTTCCCTGCTCTCCATGTTGCATTTGAATCCCATTTGTTCCCACTGAACACATAAATCTGCAAAACCAGGTCATGAGTATATACTTGTATTTTTAAAAGACGCTGAATAATTCCCTAAAACAGCTGGGCACCGCAGTATTTAGCAAATGTTGCTCAAACAATAATAAGTTGTGTATTTGACGGGGATTATTTCCAGTGTTGCATTCGGTTCAGCAGCAGGATGGTGTTTGTTGGCCTAAACTGCTTGTGTTTATCATAATGAAAAAAACATGTCAACCAGTGCAAATATGTGGCTCATTTATGCGTTTTAATGGCTGAATGACTTACTTTAACTACCTTTTAGAAGAATCAGTTTATTGTTGGTTTCACTTTTCTCACTATCTTTGTTTGCAGCAAGAAAAGTATAGAGTATGAGCAGACTTATTCCTGTAAATCCAATTTTAAAAAACAAAAAACACGGCTATACAAATGAAAAGAGCTACAAAAACCGTGCCGCTGGATTTGGAATAGACTCACAGCGTTGCTGAAGGACGCACGGCGCTGAAATTAGTACTGTACATATTACAAAGAACATATTTGAAAACCTGTGGATTTAAACACACAGACTTGTAAATATACCCTTAAATGGTCTTAAAAAGTAGAGTGTAACTTTCCACCCCAGGGGGTTGTCTCTGCTGAGTCAGAAGAACGAGCATCAGGCCTATAGAGCACCATCAGCACTATGAGACCAAGGACATGTTTTAATAAGAAGAAAATGAAGGAACAGAATAATAATTTGAAAGCATACAAGGCACGGCAAATCTAAAGAATAAGTTAGAGCTCTTGTTCAATTAACAACTTAAATCTGGAGGTTTGCTCTTTGCACATGTAAGATATGATAAAGTGAATGCAAGTAAGCTCGCTTTAAAAGTGCAGCTTCTTGAGAGCAAAGTGGGTTTTTTTCTTTTATTACTGCACACTTTGGCTTTTAACTGTGATCAAACTAGTCAGTATTTTTGGAAGAATGTAGTTTCTCTTCCTTCTTGTTCTTTTTTTTGTTTCAGCTTGTATTGATAAAAGAGAGATTTATTATTTTTTTTTTGGCTTTTAAGCTTTTCCCCAGCTGATGTGTCCTTGAGCAACACGCTGACATCTTTATCACGTACTCCTTTGTAGCTTACACGTTCACTCTGACCTTCTTGTGGAACGCAGTTAAGTTAGGATAAGTCAACTTTTGAGATCAGCTTAATCTACTCCATTCTCCTCATTCTGCTTTTAAATACTGGAGATCAAGAAAAGTTCTCGATTTCATCATGGAAATGTCCTAAGCCTCCTAAATATAACTGCCTCATGGAGCGCAAAGTGTACGAAAACATCCAGATCTTTTAGAATCGACGTGCTTGCGAGTTTTCCAGATTGCCAGGACATGTGAAGTGGGTGCCTGACTAGTCCTCTCGTTAGCAATAGCACTTATAGCACTTCCTCTGCGTCAGATAACACCTGTTAGACAGGTAGCGTACAGGCAGCTGTTAGCTGTGTGTGATTTGATTTTTTTTCCCACTTGTTAGGCCCCAAATACACTCAAAAAAGAAAATTGTGTGTCCACCATTGTTGGTTATCTTTGTAAGTATCAAAGGATGAGCAAATTTTGTCACAATGCACCAATTATCAGGCATCATTTTTCTAAAGAGGGTATTTTGGGGATTTGTTAAGTCAGTGTAACGGCTAAAGTGTTGGGTCAAGGAATGGATGCAGGTAATGAAAGGTCCATGCAAGTATGTTTATGCAACTGTGTGTGTGTGTGTGTGTGTGTGGTGTGTGTGTTTTGAGTGAGTGAGAGGTTGATTGAGGGGGCGACACTGGCATTGTGGTCCTCTTACAAAGATGCTCAAGTGTGTAAGAGGTAGTTTAAGAGCGCTACTGAGATAGTGAGAGTGTGTGAATGGGTTATGAATAGCTGTTACACATTTGCTTGTATTGCTCTGTTTGGTAACCTTTGACTTCCTCTCTTCCACCACCACCCCCCACCTCCCCTCCATTTCAGTGTATTCTGGGATTTGTATTGTGCAGCTCCAGACCGAAGGGAGACATGTGAACACTCCAGTGAGGCCAAGGCCTTCCATGACTATGTAAGTGACACATGGGCTCTGCCAACACTTCTCTTGTTTTGTTTCTGTTTTTTAAAGAAAAGTAATTGCTGCCTTTACACACTTTGAAATCAGGTATTTTTCTACGGCCGCTAAGATGCACGTAAAAACTGCACATATTTTGGTTGTGAGGTTAAGTGTGGTGATAAATGTTGAAGTGGAAACCCCGGCAGCACGTAGAGGATAGGCATTCTACTCTATTCTATTCTATAGTGCTTTGTTCAAGGACATTTGGACGGGGAATGTAGTCATTCAGTGTAAAGGAGATTGTTTCTCTTAACAGCTGGAGGTATCAGCTGACCACGAGCTATTTTGACCACACTAATGAGGATTTTTATATATTGAAAAAAAAGAAGAAAAAAAGTCAAATTCTAGAACACATTTTGTGTATTTCTGTTAATGAGTTGTGCTTTAATTAATTCAGTTTAATTATTGGTAAAAGGCAAGAAAATAGTGACCTTAATGGCCACTTCTTCAAGCTTAAGGTGGTGTCCTTACATTCTTTATCTAAGTTTATAATGGCACAAAATGTAGAAGCAAATTCTTAAAATTTAGAAACTCAAACAATATAATTTTATATATAATATTTGGCCCTGTGATAGACTGGTTACCTGTCCAGGGTGTCTCCTGCCTTCACCCTGAGTCGACTGGGATAGACTCCAGCCCCCCATGACCCTAGTGAGGATTAAGCGGTGTATAGATAATGGATGGATGGATGTAATATTTGTCATTTTGCTTGTAAAATAGTAGTTTAAAAAACCGCAGAAGTGTTTGAAGGAATGAAATGACTCTGTTTTGAACTATAATTTGTCTAATATGTGTCCACTGACGTTGAATAAAGCCAAAATGCCAAAAAAACATCTTTAAAAAAATGAAAATGTTTCCATGTAATCTCCTACCTTACTAAAAAAAAATGTACACTGTTGGACAAAGTATGTCTCTTACAGTGTACATGCACAACATTTTCCAAGTTTCCACATCACACATGGTCCCTACATGCAGGTCTTAAACTCATCCAAGGTGAGCAAAGTGGACCGAGACTTTAAATCAGTAAGTAATAAATAATTTGTGCTGTAGCAGGGTTTCTGTCCAGTTTCAAATCAAGCATTCCTTAAGTCTTCAGGTGCATCAGTGAATGACGTAATGGAAGAGGCTTTAGAAGAGCAGAGAAGTTTTTTAAAAAAAAAAGTGATTGAGAAACAACAAAAGAATAAAATGACTCAGAATTAGTGAAAAGAAAAAGTTCCATTCTGCTGTTTTGGTGATTCAGAGACTGTGACGACACTCAGAAGGACATAATGCCGTCCTGTGCAATCAGTTTTACTCTTTTGTTGTCGTGCATAAGTTCACCATGACTTTTTTTCAGCCAGTTAACACGTCCTCGCAAAGAACAACACGACAGAGCCGCGAAAACTTAGAGAAAACTGTCAGCTTGCTGCACTACACTAATTTAAATGTAGTTTAGCTGTGACAGGACACTGGTTCTGGAGGTGTTTTTCATCCCTATCGCACTTTCTTATTTTAATGATGTCTTTAATGTTACGTAACACAGAATCACAGCACTACTGGAAAATTTAATGATCATTTGGGTTTGTGCAGTGCCCCCCAGTTTTAATTATTTCACTTGTTAACAAAGACCCAAGCATTCTCTAAACCTGTTTTTCATCTTTTGCACTGATAACTCAGCTCGCAGCGTTTTCCATCCAAGCTTTTGGAAACGCTGCCTTTACAATAGTCAAAAGCGGAAATGAATGGCACTGTAGTGTCCAGAGCTAGCTACAGTCGCTCCTTCATAAGTCTCTCTATGAGTCACGAGAGAATTTCAATTCTTAAAGTTTGTGGAGTTTTTTTTTTTCTTGCTATATGAATGGAAGTGATATGACTGAATTGAAAAAATCATGGCTTCAGGGCTTTTAAAAAATTCAGATTATGCGGCTTCAGGTTCTGTTTACATTGTGGGCTTTAATGTACGTGCATCCTTGAGGAATTATTTATTGCTTTTGAAGCGCGTATGGAACAATTCCTCTTTTCTCTGTCTTACTGCGCGTGGAGGTCACGGGTCAGGGTCGGCTGCATTTCCTGAGTTTGTAAAGATTCAGCGTATCACTCAAGGACGGCTCGGTGCAGTGGATGCTTGTCGCAAGTTCACTTTTAACATCGTTTGATCAAAGAGCCCTACTAGTAATACCTTTCTGTCGAAGAATAGTAATAATAATAGTAATAATAATAATGAGGTAAAGAAGTGTTGCGTTCTCCTCCATTGTGAGTAGAAACTGTAGCTGGATGTTCTGGTGTGTAAATGTCATCTGTTGTGATTGACACTGTGTCTGTCTTCAGCCTGTCCTCTCTGGTCAAGACAGTGTGGCATTGTGTGTGTGTGTGTGTGTGTGTGTGTGTGGGGTTGTGTGTGTGTGTGTGCGCAGTGTATAGTGTGGGGAGATAATGGAATAGAGTTCTAATCCGGTA